GGGGGGTGGGGAGCCGCTCGGGGAGGGCTCCAGGCGGGGACGGGGCTGCACAACCCGCCCGGCACTCTGGCAGGACGGCTCACCCCGGCCTGGAGGGGGCTCAGGGGACTTTGGGGCCCCTCCCCACCCCCACCCCAGCAGAGACCCCTGGGCGCCCGCTTCCCTTCCCTTCCCGGAACGACACACGCTCTCAATTACGCCAGTCTGAAGGGCAGGCGAAGAAAAGTCTGAAAGACCCCCCCCCCTCCCCCAGGGGCTGTCCTTAGGCCAGGCATCCCTCAAACGGGGGTGGGGGTGGGGGTGGGACGGATTGGGCTCCCTTGGGCAAAAGGGCCGCTGCTCTCTCTCGCGTCGCCAGGCAAACCCCTTCCGTCACCGGATCTGCCGCGTCTTCTCCACGGCCCCAGACGGGGGAGACGGCCTGTCCTTCGAGGACTTCCTGGACGTGCTGAGCGTCTTCAGCGATGCGGCCACGCCGGAGATCAAGTCCCACTACGCCTTCCGCATCTTTGGTGAGTGGCGGCCTCTGAAGGAGCCCCCAAAGGCCTGGAGAGCCACCATGGTGGGGCGGTGGTTGCGTGTCAGGCCCCCCGTGGCCAGTCCCCCACGAGTGTTCTCAGCCAGGTCTTGTGAGGCTGAAATTGGAGACGGGGATTTCGTGCACAGCTGAAGCTTCTTGGTCTAACCTAAGGGCTCCACTGAACAAGCACCGGTGTGGCCGTGGCCCTGCTGGCATGAGCACGCTGAGTCCAGCTCCGTGCCCTTCCCTTATCGCGTGCTGAGCTGCGTCCCAGAAAGGGAACAGGCCTCTGGACTCTGCACCCGACAACCTGAGCAGGGTGTTGGCTAAGGCCATGAGTCCAGTTAGGCCTCGAGGCAGAGCTGCCAAGAAGGGAGTTGCGCCTCTGGGAAGATGCCGGTGCAGAAATCCCCCCCCCCCCGGGGGTGGGCTCTCCTGTAAGGGGCTGACTGAACTCCCCCTCCCTCCCTCCCTCCCTCCAGATTTTGATGATGATGGGACTCTGGACAAGAAGGACCTGGAGAATCTGGTGAACTGCCTGACCGGGGAAGGAGAGGAAAGCCGGCTGAGCCCCGTGGAGATGGAGCAGCTCATCCAGAACGTGAGTGCCCTGGGGGGGGTGTGTGTGTGAGAGACCGTGCTTGTGCCGGTGGGGGGGGGCTCCCTCTGCTCCCACCCTCACCCTCCACGGCCGCGTTGCTTCCCGCAGATCCTGGAAGAGTCGGATATCGACAAGGACGGGACCATCAACCTCTCTGAGTTTCAGCACATCATTTCGCGCTCCCCTGACTTCCCGAGGTAGCTCCTGCCGTTCTGCCCCTGGGGCTGGGTTGGAGGGTCTCCCCCCCGCTCCCCCCCAGCCTGAGCAGCTGTTGCCTCCCCTTCTCTTCCAGTTCCTTCAAAATTGTGCTGTGAGGCCCTGTGGTGGCTCCAGACGGCCCCTCCTCGCTTGCTCACTTCTCTCCGGCGTGACTCTTTTTGAGCCAAGCGGATGCTGGGGACGGTTCCAGCAGGACACATCCCTCCCCCGAGGCCCCCCCCAGGGCTTTTCTTTCCTCGTGTTCCGCCTGGGGGGGGGCCAGCAGCCCCGGGGCCTTCGTGCCTCAGTGTGTGTGTGGGGGGGCGTGTGTGCCTTGCTTTCCTGTCTCCTGGCCACGGCTGCTTGAATTTATAGTATCCTGGGGGCGGCTCCTCTCCAGGGTCGGTGGCCCTGGGGTTCTGTCCCCAGGGGCAAAGTCACTCTGTGCCTTGACCTCTGCTGTCCTCTCGGTGCTACCTCTGCTCTCCCCTTCCGCGGTGGGAGAATTTTGCACAAGCGGAGTCAGGCCTGCCCCTCTGCAGGGCCAGCACCGTGGGGGTTCTAGCCACCCTCTGTTTTTCGGGGCGGCGGCGGCAGGGAGCTCTGTTGCCTCTGCAACTTGTCTTTCAACCTCAGTTGCCTCTGCAACTTGTCTTTCAACCTCAGTTATATGGCCCTGTCTGGCCTTTGCCTGGAATACTAATAAAGCTCAGGAGCTCAACCTGTGGAGTCCAGAGGCATTTTATTGTGTGTCCTCCCCTTTGCAGCCAACCCAGCAGCTGGACTGGAGGGAGCCTGGCTTTAGGCCTCTTGATAACTGGGAAGGGGCAGGGCTGGAAATGCCACTTCCTTTTCTGGCCATGCTGAAAATAGTCCTGGCTGTCCTGGGGAGGGGGGCCCCCTGCAACTGAGGGTGCTTGTGGCAGAGCGTGACATTGGAAAGGAGGGAAGGCAGACGTGTCTAGTCCCGTCTGCACACCCCTTGGCAAAGGAGCCGGGTGCTGCTGGGCCAGAACAGAAGCCGATCCAACGCCAAAGAAAACAGGTTCACTTTATGTAAACACACACACGCAACAAGGGAAACCTCTTGTGCAAGAAGACGGGGAAAGGGGTACAACTGTGCAACCCTAGAGTGGCTCCAGCCCGGAAGAATTCACATTTTGAGACACTCACGCAACACGGCATGTCAAAGAGAGACACGTGCGGCATTCGACAGTACTAGACACGCTTCCCCCACCCCACAAAGAAACACACGTTCCTCTCCTATGACAGAGGGGCAAAATGCCCTGTCTCCCCCCCCCCCACCCCCACTGCTACAGCATCTGCTCCTCTCTCTCTCTCCCACTGCCCTTTGCAGGCTGGAACTGGACAGAGCCCCCCCCCTCTCTCTCCTCCTGGGAAGTGCAGGAGCCAGGCCGGGCCTTCCCTCCTGTCCCTGCAGCTCCAGGGCCTGGTTACAAAGTCTTCCGGGCTGGATGTGCAGCCCCAGCTACCTCCCTCAGCAAAGGCTCACTGGTACCCAGCAGGCTGTGCGGCAGCAGTAGCGAAATCTGCGGTCCAGCAGTCTGGCGGCACAGCCCACGGCTTGTTCTAGTGCTGGGCTCAGTCCAGAGAGGGAGGGCGGCACTAGACACCCCCCCGCCCCTCCCCCACTGCAGGCTCTGTTGGCGTTGGCTAAGAGTGGCTCGCTCACACCACCGAGTCCCGGATCTCGGAGCCGAGGCGCACGCGGAGGCGCTGCGAAGGGACCAGCATCTCCACGAAGCTCTCGCGCACGCTCAGCGGCTGCTGGGCAGGCTCCAGGAAGGCTGTGCCGGGAGGGGCCGCGGCCTCCCGCAGGGGTGTGCTCGCCACGTGCCTGTCGTCCAGCGTCTGGTAGCCCTTGTGGTCGGGCAGGGCGCTGGGCGCGCTGGCCCCGTTGAGGGGCAGGCTCTCTGCGGGCAGCCCCGCCTTGCGCAGTTTCTTGGCCTGGGCGTCGGTGCACCGGCCCTGCTCGAGGAAGGCCTTCATGGCCCTCTGGTGCCGGCGCAGGAGGAAGAGGGTCAGGAGCGTCACCGTCAGGCCGAAGAGCACGCACATCACCAGGAACTCGGTCCAGTAGGTCTTGCCCTCCAGCAGGGCCGCGATGCCCCCCGCCAACACGGGGGAGGTGCTCCGGGAGGTGCTGATGGTCTCCCGGGGGTCCTGGAGGGGCACGAGCCAGCCCGGCGCCTCCGGCTCGACCCGCACGCAGTAGTTGGCCATCAGCTGGTGGAAGCCGCCCTCCTGGGACCAGCACTCGTAGTGCCCGGCCCGGTCGGGGCTGCCCACCAGCACCAGCTCGCCCTCGGGCAGCACCAGGAAGGAGGCGTTAAGGGCCACCCCCTCCTTCACCCACTGGCGGGAGGCCAGGTTGGAGAGGCGCGGGCAGGGGAGTGGCTTCACGGCGTTGGCGGCCAGCCACACCGGCTGGCACTTGGCGGCTGAGGAGGAGGAGAGAAAGACCTCCCCCCCCCAGCCCAAAGGTAGTTGCCCCCCCCACCTGTTGGTTCCGTACCTGTCGAGTGGGTGAGCTCCACACTGCTGGGCTGGCACAGCTGCATCACGGCAGCGGTCTGGATGTCCTGGGCCCAGGACCTGGGGGTGGAGAGAGGGAAAGCTGGCTGAGGCAGGGGTGAGGGCACAAACGGCACCACCGGAGGCAGCAGCGCTTGAAGGATGGGGGGGGGGGGGGGGGGGGGGAACCCCGGGCCAAGGAGAGCACACTCACGCTGTGGGCTGCTGGTGGTAGAGGGCCACAGGCCGGCAGGCTTCTCCACTCCAGGCACAGTAGGGGTCCCGAGCCAGGATACACTCCCCGCAGCTCCGGTACAGGCTGCAGTTGGCGACCGGCAGCTGCGCCAGCATGGAGTAGGAGGCAGCGTAGAGCAGGCCCTGTAAAGGGGGGGAGGAGGGGAGGGGCTGAGCGGGACAGGCTCCTGGAGGGCGGGGGCCCCGGGGCACTGCTGCTGCCACCGCCCCCCTTGAGCTTTGGCAGCTGTGCCTGTGTGTCTCGGCTCGCTCTCCTGCCGGGGGGGGGGGGGGGGCCAAGAGAAGCCCCCCAGTGGAGGCCCGGCCTCCAAAGCCGTGCCGGTGAGTCCCGCAGGGAGGCAAGCCCTTCGCGGTGGCACAGCCTGGGCTGGCTTGCCCTCCGGCAGGGGCCCATGTTGGCCTGCCCCGCCCTTCCGCCTTGCCTGGGTGGGGTCCAGCAGCAGCTTGAGGACGGGCTGCCCTGCAGGGAAGAGCTGGACCTCCTCGATGATGTGCACCCCCTGGCCCGTGACCACCGCCTTGTGGAGCCGTCCGTCACCTGCAGAAAGGCACAAGGGCAGCTGCTGAAGGGCCGGCTCCTGCGCGTGCCTCTGGCCCAGCCGTCTCCCAGCCCGTCCCCTCTGCCCGGGGCTCTTCCCCGGTCTGAAGCCAGGCGGCGAGGCAAGCTCCACGAAGGCCCACCTGCTCTTGCACCAGCCCAGACGGGGGCATGGCCCCGCTTCTCAATGGAAGAGGGCCCTTTGCTGCAAAGGCTGCTCTTTTTGTCTCATGCGTGTTCTGCTCGCAGCCAGCTCCCATTTCTTAAGCCTCCCCGGAATCCGGCCCCAGGGTTCTTGGCCTCCCACTTTGTCGCCACGGTAACTGGCCTGCGGGAACTCACTGAACTTCATGGCTGGGGGTGGGCTTGAAGTGGGACCTCCCCCGCCCCAGATCTGACACGGGCAGCTCCGTGGCTCTCAGCACAGCCTCCTCCGCCTGCCAGCAGCACGGTACACCGTGTGCACACACCCCCACCCCACCCCGGGATCTGCTCTCAGGAGCAAACGGGGAGGGGGGAAGGAACGGAGCCAACACGTTTATCCTCTGCAACAGCATGCCCATCTATCAGAAGGAACGTCTTCCGAGGGACCAGCACACACACACCCCTGCAATGTTCTTCCACTTCCTGACAGTAACAAGAGGGAAGCAGCGTACGACAAACTAAAATGCCCCCTGACAGCAGGCAAGCCTTCCTGCCTTCCCCCAACAACTCTCGCCACAATGCAGAAGAGCGACATTCTGAAAAGGATGAGGCCGGCGGGCCACCCCTTAGGCAAGTCAAAGCAAATCGGCATCTCAGGTGGACCAGAAACTGAGCGCCGCGTGCTTCTGACTCACTGAGCGTGCCCAGGCCTGCTCCTGCGTGGGTGCAGAGAGCGGGCCGGGCACAACTCAACCAGGTGAAAGAGACAAAGACGGCGAGGAGGAGGCAGCGCCCCCCCCCCACCACCTTCACCAGCAAGGCTCTCTTCTCCCCTCCCCTCCCCCATTTTTGGGTTCAGATCTGCTGGCAACTCCCCACTGGTCCCAATGAAACGGGATGTTTTGCCAGGCCTCCCAAGAGCAAGTAGGTGAAAGGCAAGGAGACAGACGGGCACTGGAACAAAACAAACCCCTTCCACATATTGCTGATGAGGTCTGAACTGGTCGAGACACCAAAACGGAAAGAGCTATTGGGGCCACAGGGGAAAGCTCAGTGAAAACGTCAACTCAGTAAGCAGGCGACGGTGAGAAAGGCCAACTCCATGCTGGGAACTATTAGGAAAGGGACTGAAAACCAAGCCTCCCTCTAAGCTGTGGAGTCTTGTGAGTAAAACTTTCTACTTTGTGAGCTACTGGCATTAAAGTTGGGAGCGAGGAGCCCTCCTCCCTGAGCTGAGACAAAAATGTGTGAGCCAGAGGCTAAAAAAAACCGTGAGCCAACTCACACTAACTCAGCTTAGAGGGGACACTGCTGAAAACAGAACGGCCAATACTGGAAGGCCCTCGTGACGTCTAGAGCTCCGGGGCAGCCTCCGGAAGAATGCCGTGTGCCGTTCTCATCCCCATATCTCGAAAAGGACATTGCAGTGCTGGAGAAAGCACAGAAGAGTGCGCGACCAAGATGATGAGGCAGTTGGAGCACCCTCCCCATCAGGAGAGGCTGAAGAAGGCCCTGGGAGTCTGCAGGTCAGGAAAAAGATGACCAAGGAGGGGGGGGGGACGGGACATGGCAGAGGTTTCATCAAGTATGAAGCATGAGCTGGAGAGAGTGGGCAAGGAGGACTCCCCTCCCCCCCATAACTCTATAGATCTTGAGGGCACCCAGTGGGTGGGGTACCAGGTTCAACGCAGACAAAAGGGGAAATGCTTCTTTACCCAAAGAGTCATGAAACTGGGGGGGGGGGGGGGTCCCACGGCAATGTTCCCTCTAAGCTGTGGAGCCCTGTGAGCCAAAATCCTACTTCGTGAGCTACTGGCATTAAAGTTGTGAGCAAGCGATTGGGCTACTGCATAAATTAGTCAGCTCTGGAGCCCTCCTTCCCGAGCTAAGACAAAAATGTGTGAGCTGTGGGCTAAAAACCTGTGAGCTAGCTCACACTCACTCAGCTTAGAGGGAACACTGGTCCACGGCCAGTGGAGGTAATGACGGCCATTAGCACAGGGGGCTTTTGAAGGGGTCAAGGCCGATTCATGGAGGAGGGGGAGGCCCCTCGGTGGCTCCTTCACCAGGGCGACTAAAGAGAACCTCCATATCCAGAGGCAGTCAACCTCTGAAACTGAGTGTCAGGAGGCCGAATCAGGGGAAGGCCTCGGACTCTATAGCCTGTTTGCTTGGCCCCCCAGGGCAACTGGCTGGCTGCCGTATTAAACAGGGTGCTGGCCTAGATGGACCTTCACTGGCCTGATTCTGCCGGCTCGCCCGATTTCTAAGCAGCAGCAGCAAACCCACCCTTCTCTGTTGTCTCATCAGTCTGACCAGCATTTGCGTCTTTTTACTTCTGCCGCGATCCGGGGCTAAATTTCCGTCAATGAAGAAGAGTTGGTTTCACATTGTTCTTCACTACCCGAAGGAGTCCCTGAGCGGCTTACAATCTCCTTCCCTTCCTCTCCCCACAACGACAGCCTGTGAGGTAGGCGGGGCCGAGAGAGCTCTGAGAGAGCGGCCCTTGATTGAGAGAGCCCAGCTGGCTGCATGTGGAGGACGAGGGGGGAATCAAACCTGGTTTTCCAGAATAGAGTCTGCTGTTCTTGAAGGGCTATTGGGAAGAAAGGGACTGTGCAGCCTCACGAGGACCAGGGGGGGGGAAGTGCCCGGGCGAAGAAGCCTGGAGAGCCACACGCAGAGGGCTTTACACTGTGGGCGAGACGAGCCCAGGCCCAAGGCGAAGTGCTACAGAAGGATTCATACCCCATGGCCCTTCACTACCCGAAGGAGGGGTCTCAGAGCAGCCTACAAACTCCTTTCCCTTCCCCTCCCCTCCCCACAACAGGCGCCCTGTGAGGTAGGCGGGGCTGAGAGAGCTCAGACAGAACTTGCTCTTTTTCAAGGACAGCTGTGCCAGAACTAGGGCTTGCCCAAGGTCATCCAGCCAGGTGCAAGTGGAGGAGGAGTGGGGAATCGAACCCGGTTCTCCCAGATTAGAGTCCGCGCACTTAACCACGACACCAAACTGACTCACAAAAATGTGTGAGCTGGAGGCTAAAAAACTGCGAGCTAGTGGACACGAACCCATCTTAGAGGGAACACCGGCCTACTCTGCAACAGAACTAGCCGGGAAGGCACCAGAACATGATCATTGCTGCTTTCAGCGTCTACGCCCTGATACTCAGTGCACAGGCCATGAACGAGATGACAAAGAACCCCCTCGGCTGAGAAGGAAGGTCAGTGCTGCCTTGGTGGGACGGCTGCCATGACCGGGACACAGCAATCAACGGAGGTGCCTTGTTCAAGAGGACTAGACACAGCAGGTGAGGAGGAGAAACAGGAAGGTTAAGTCCACCAAATGTGCTTGCAGCCCCACAGAAACCGAAGAAGGTGGAGAGGGTAGCCCTATTAGCCGCCTCTGGGTAAAACTAAATAGAGGAAGGAATTTCAAAAAACACCATCGTGGTTGGGGTTCATTAAAGGCCAATGCTTTCCAGAAACGAATGGCCACTGTTCTAAGGAAGCCGGCAACGATGGGCCACAATCGGCACACGTAAGGCTGGCCACATCCCTCATCCCACGGAAAGCTAAAGGCGAGCACAGTCAAAGAAGTTCCTCCACCTTTACAAAAGCTGGTTTTGAGAAACCCAAAAGATTTCATAACTAAACTATTTCTTAGAAAAAGGAATCCAAGACGGGTGCGACTTCCTGAGAAAGGAGTGGCTAAAGGCACCGCTGCAAACATTGTGGGTGGCAGAAAGGAAAAGGGAGAGATGCCCCGAGAGAGAAGCCCTGCTGGTTCAGATGGTGAGTGGGCTGGCCTCCACGAGGGACTTTTGGTCAGCAACGCCGGCCAGCACCCGGCCGGCTCCAGAACAGCCCCCTCAGAAGCCCACCCTTTCCCGTTACGGTTTGACCCAAAACCCAACAGGGCATCGGACGGAATCGAGGCACAGGGAGAAAAGGACCAGCTAACCTGACCGGCCACCAGAACGAGAGAGCGGAGCCACCCGGCAGTGAAGACTGAGCCCCCCCCACCCCCAGGACACATGGAGCTGCTGCCTCCGTGCAGGCCAGGCCTCGGCACCATCCAGCCCAGCATCCGGCATCTCAGGCAGCACATGGGCTTGGCCAACAGCGCCGCTAACTAGAGATGCCCAAGACTGAACCTGGGGCCTTGTGCCTATGGAACAGATGCTCGGCCGCTGCACAGGGACTCCTCTCCAAACGTCTCCCTGCAGCCCACCTCCCGTGGGGAAGAGCTCCCCAGGGCAGGGGCCACGTCCAGAGAAGTCCTGGCCCTGGCAGCCAGTTCTCCTAAGACTGGTGCGACGGATTTCTGTGGCCACTTCAGAGGCAAGACCGGCGACGGGGTCTGCTCATTCCCACCCCTCGCGCAGACCCCTCGTCCCTCCCTCCCTCCCTCCCTCAAGGGCCTTTCCCCTGCTCCGGCTGCCCACCTGCCCCCAGGAAGAGGACATCGTAGACGTGGCGCAGGCCCTGGACGCGCTGCACGCTGATCTGCTGGTAGCGAGCCCGGCTCTGCAGCAGGAGCGGCTGGCTGCGTACGGCACTGTCCATCAGGAAGTGGTCCTTCAGGTAGTTGAGCACCCGGTCAGGCATCTGGAGCGAAGAGGTGATCTTCATGTAGCGCGCGTGGCTGGTGATGCACTGGAGGAGGAGGACAGAGAGGACTGGACCAGCGGCCACTCGGGGCCAGCCGTCTCCTCTCGTAAGAACACGAGAGAAGCCAATGCTGGATCAGGCCAGTGGCCCATCCAGCCCAACACTCTGTGTCTCACTCTGGCCAAAACCCAGGTGCAATCAGGAGGCCCAGCAGCGGGGCCAGAACTCCAGAAGCCCCCCCACTATGGCCCCCTCCACAAGCAGCAAGAATACAAAGCACCCAGCTCTCCCAGGTCTCCCGCATCCACGCAACCACCCAATGGCACTAGTCTCCCGGCCGGGGCTCTGGCACAGGATGGGTGTCTGTGTACCACTGCTGCGTCTCTCGGTTGATTTCCTTGTACAGGCCGTTGAAGGCTTCCTTGACGTCAGACATGGAGAAGGCACAGACTGCTGTGCCCACACTGCCCTTCCTATCCCTGACAGCGAGGAACAGAGTGGGCAGTCAGCAAAGCAAGAGGAAAGCATGGGCCCGAATCTCCCCTTTGCTGACACCCACAAGCTGGGAACCAACGATGCCATGGAGCCGTTGCCCTGATAGGCCCATAATGCCTGCATGGCTTGGTCTCTTCCCACACCCCAGAGGCGGCTCTCCCTGGCCCCCGTTCCTGCTGGAGTGGCCGTGGCCACCCCCGGCTCCTGCAGCTCACCACTGAGAGGAGAAGACCCCGTAGAAGACCGTCTCCGTCCAGCGCTCTCCGGGCGTCAGCGTGAATATGTCCTGCAGCACGTTGAAGGGGAAGCCGTCTCCGGCGCGGGAGCACAGCAGCTGGGCCTTCAGGAAGGTCGTCCAGCGTCTCTGGAGCACACGTTCTCCCCCCACATCTCCCTGGCAGGAAGGAGGGCAGAGCAGAAACAGCCCGCAGTCAGGGCAGAAGAACCAGCGTTTCGGATGACTGTAGATGACTGGGAACGACCGGGCCCCGGAGGGACTTTGACAAAAAGCTCTTCCCACCTCTTAATTCAGCAACAAAGGGCATCTTTTTACAGACTTCGACCTAGTCTGGGGGCCACAGTTCAGTCGGGCTCCAAAGCTTTAGCAACAAGCTCAGAGGGTTCTTCTTTAGCGAACGGCCTTGGCTAGACCTGTCCAGCATGAACCCCTTCTGAAGGCAACTGAACTTGGGGCCACGGCTACATCCTCCAGCAGCGAATCCCACTTTGAGCGAAGGTCGTCTTCTGACCCTCAACGTCTCTGGACAGCTGCCAGTTTGACTTTTAGGGGAGAGGGAGAAAAAGTCCTCACTATCCACCATCTCCACACTGTGCGTAGTTTTATGCACACTTCTATTATATTCCCGCTCCTTGATTGGGTCTTTTTTTGGAAGTGAAATGCCCGATTCTGGGCCTTTCCTTACAAGGAAGGCGCTCCAATCCCGTGATCGTCATGACCGGCATCTCTGCTGCACCTTTATTTATCTCTTTATTTTATTTGATTTGTATCCCGCCCTCCCCACAAGCGGACTCAGGGCGAGTTCCATCATAAAATCCACAATACGACAAACCGACAGTTGAAATATATCTAAAAATCTATGTAAAACGGCCATCAACATAAAAAGGTCGGTGCCTCAACAGACCTCGGCCAGAAGCAGTTGGTTCCCAGGTGGTGTCACTGGAGGGGGGGCCAGTCAGAAGGGGGCTGCCCACTGCCTCAACTAAAGGTTTGGCGGAAGAGCTCCGTCTTGCAGGCCCTACAGAACTGTAATAGGTCCCGCAGGGCTCTGATTTCTAATGGGAGCTCATTCCACCAAGGAGGGGCCAGGGCCGAAATAGCCCTGTCCCTCGCTGACGCAAGTCAGACGTCCCCGGGGGGCCGGGGACCACCAGGGGCACTGTTCCCTCTAAGCTGAGTTAGCGTGAGCCGGCTCACAGTTTTTTAGCCTCCGGCTCACACATTTTTGTCTCGGCTCAGGAAGGAGGGCTCCAGAGCAAACGGATTTATGCAGCAGCCAAATCGCTTGCTCACAACTTTAATCCTAGTAGCTCACAAAGTAGGATCTTTGCTCACAGGACTCCACAGCTTAGAGGGAGCCTTGACCAGGAGAGGTGTTGGTTAATACACCATACGTTCCTGCGGGCCTTAAGTACAGCGAGGCAGTCCCGAAGCACTATAGGATGGTTTCTGGGATACGGCAACCTGACCTATACGCAGCCTTCCAAACGAGGCCGCACTGCAGATCTGTACAAGAACGCTGCAGTCCTGGCTGTCCCCCCTAGCCCCGAACCCACCCCCCTTTTCACTGCTGGGGTGCATGGAAACATCCTCATGGAGTTGGCTGCTACAAGCCCCAGTCCAGAACGCCTAACGTAACGCACACTGAACCTCATCCTTGCCGCATCGCCGCCTGCTCCCCCATTCTGGAAGAGGACCTCTTCACGCGTTGCTCTTGGTTCCTGAACGATCTGTCTGCGATCTGACCACGCTCAGCCAGCGGAACGTGGCTTTAGGGAGAAAGCGTTCCCCGGCCCAACTCCCAAGAGTGCTGGCTCCCCCGCGACCCTCACCTTGCACACTCGCGCGATGCGTGACACGACGGCGTCCTCAAAGAAGTCAAACTCCTTGCCGCTCTCGCTGAAGAAGAAGTAGACCTTGTCGTCATCTCCCTGGGGATCGCTGGGCGGGAGGCTCTCGCGGAGGACGGCGGAGCCCACGAAGGAAGGGTCTGCAGCACAGGCGCACCGAAGACCGGCCAGTGAGGAGCGGCCCTCTCTGAGCGCCAACACCCCCAACCCGATAAGGTCCCCCATCCTGGGCGCAAAACTCTGGAGTCGCGCATTGCAACGGGAACCGAGAGAGTTGCCGGGGGAAGCACTGCAGGACGGTGGTCGCCGGCCCGGATCGGACCAGCCCAAGCTCTGCCCCCTGAAAAAAACGAGGCCCCCCCCTTCCCGCCCCAGCGTGCTCGGCTGCCGTCTCCCCCTCGCTGCCCGTCCCCCACGCCCACCTTGCAGCCAGCTGAGGGAGTTCTCCGTCTTGACGGGGGCCACGCGGCCGCTGCTGTGGCTGCGGGAGATGGTCGGCTCGTTGCCCTGGAAGTTGCTCACTGTCCCGGTGTACAGCTCCCCGTCTGCAGAACAGACACCCCCCCCGGTCAACGCCGGCGGGACCAGCTCTTGGGCCAGGGAGCAGAAGCCCCTCTCCCCCGGGGGGCCAGGTCCTCTCAGAGGAGGCTCGGGTGGGGGGGGGGGGGAATGACCCTTGACCTCAGCCCACCCCCCTGCCCGCCTCCTCCTAGTCCTGAGATGGCCCGGTCCCCCATTCCCCCGCCCCACGAAGGAGGACCAGCAGCCCCCCACCACCTCCGCCTGGAGCAGCTCACCGACTAGGAGGGCTGTTGATTTGTATTCGGGATCAAACGGGCAGCGGCCTTTCCCGTCCTCCAGGACTGGCTTCCCGGAAGCCTCCCGCGTCAGGCTGAAGTCGGGGATGCTCTGCAAGGGAGACGGGGCCGTGGAAGAGCTGCCTGGAGGGAGGGGGGCCGCCGTAGGCCGAGGAACCTCACTCTGGCCTGGAAGCCCCTCTCGCCCACCGCCACACCCTGGGTTCCCGGCACTAAGGCACCCTGCACGTGCTCAGAGGACCTCTCCTCTCCTCACACCTCTAGGGACTGAGACCGGGCACCAGAGCGGCTCAGAGGCCAGGTGCCGGCAGGGGCAAAACCACGGCCTCCGAGGCAGGGGGCAGAGGTGGGACACGGCCAGGGAAAGCCTTTCCCTTCCCTCTCACTTTGACAGGCAAAACACCTCTCGGTGCTCCTTGGCTGTGGCTGGAGAGAAAGAAAGGCCTCCCGCGCCAGACGCAAATCCAGCCAGCCAGACGGGAGCGGCAGAGAGCACTTGGGGAGGGGGGGCCTCTTCCCCAGCCGGCAACAGGGCGCTTCCCTTGGAAAGAGGCTCAGTCCGACACAAGGCGCTTCTAGCATCAGAGTAACACCTCCTCCCCGCGTGCAAGGATGCTCAAGGCAGCCCTGGCAAGCCAGGTGCGCAGGTGATGACGAGCTACACGGCTGCAAACCAGCCCCCCTCCAGCTCTCGTGTTCCAGGAGAGCAGGCGAAGCCACCGACAACAGCAGAGAGCACCCACACACCCCCACACCCCCCATCCCACCGCCCTGTCCTTACAACGTAGGTGCAGGCAGGGCTGAAGGCGCTGGTCCCACAGGTGTAGAGGTGGGTGTCGTTCAGCTGCAGCAGGATCTTGATGTAGTTGTGGCAGTCTCTCTGTGGGGGGCGGCAGGGCACTGGCATCCAGCCTGGGGGCTACCCAGACACCACCCCCACCCGCCCTCCAGCCCAGCCCCTCACCCTGAGTCACTGCCCAGTCCGAGGGAGGCCTTTCAGCCCCGGAGGGACAGCCCGGACCCCGCCCCAGCTGGGCAGGCGGGACGGGCACTCACCTGGGGGTCCTTGCCCTTGAAGACGCACTGCTGCTTCTTCTCCTCCTCAGCAGCCCACGGCAGCTGCAGACAGACAGACAGAGAGGGAGCAACGCTGACCGCGGCCCCGGGGGGGGGGGGGGACAGTCTCTGCGCGTGCCCCCATCACCCTGCGGAGAGTTCCCTCGCCTGGCATTGGAGCCGCTTCCTCCCTGCTCAACACTGCAGGCAAACGCCCAGCAGGGCCCCAACCCCAACGCGCACAGACTGGCCCCAGAGTGGTCGTGGCCTTCACCTGTAGCGGCCCCTCTGGGAGTATCGCCCCACCCACAGCGGAGTGAAGCTGGGCCAGAGAGCCAAGCCTCACCCTGCCCAGAGGTTGGCCTGAGTTCTATGCCGAGAACATCAGACTGTTATCGCTGTGGCCCACAATCGGTATTCATCAACAACATTAACAACAGCAAAAGCAAGAGTAATAACGGGAAAGAGGTGGGGGAAAGGAGGCGCCGTCCTGGGTCAGTCCCTCTCTCCCCCCCTCGCTTCTGAGAGTGCGGCTGATGATGCTCTCGCGTTCTCTGGCTGCGGGGCTCAAAACCCGTCTGAAGCAGGGAGGCGGCAGAGGCCAGGCGCCGCCCCGGCGATTCCCGGAGGGGGGAGAGGGCAGACAGCCCCCGCCAGCCTTGCTCCTGCTGCCCAGACAGGTCCCGGGAGAGCTGCCCAGAGCCCACGCGTGGGACAGGGCAGGGCATACATTAAAGACATAATAACAGTCAGAACCATGGCACGGGCAGTCGGCTAAGAGCCGGCCAGCTGGGCCTGGCCTGGGGACGGCCTTCCCCAGCAGAGTCAGACTGGCGTGGGGGTGGGGTAGAGGCAGAGAGAGGGTCGCCTGGCACTCACGCTCCGATGCTGCGGCCCAGGGGAGAAGGCGCTGGTGTTGAGGGCGAGGAGGGTCTCACGGGCCCCCGCATACAAGGTGCTCCCGTCCGGACTCAGCAGCATGGCTGTGTAGTTGGCGATGCCCGGCATCTCGAAGCGGTTCACCAGCCGGCCTCGGGAGTCTGGGAAGAGGCACCACAAAGGCCAGTTGGAGCACCGGTCGCCCAGACGGCCCCCGGGCCTTCCTCCACCCCACCCCCCACAATGGCGCAGGGGGACCGTGCAGCACTCTGACCGGCCGCCATCCTGCTTTTCTTTCCTGCATCTGCTCTGCTCAGCACTGGGGGCCCCCACACAGAATGCCAGGGCCACTCCGCCCCCCAACGCCTGGTTCCCTGGAAGTGGCCAGAAGCCCTGTGTGTGTGTGTGTGGGGGGGGGGAGTGCTGCTGCTTCCCCAGGCCCTGCCCCCCATTCATGCCCTGGCTGTGGGGAGGGGGTGCTGGCCGGCTCTGGAGGGAGGGGGACTGGGGGGGAGCAGAGCCCCTGCAGCTTCCAGAGAGGCAGCCTCCCTCCACTGGCTGGGCCCCCCCTCCCCCCCGGCCTACAGCCAGTGGCCCCGAGTGGATCCCGTAGGGCCTTTCGCGGACATCTGGTGTCTGCTTTGGTCTCTTGTGCAAGCAGGTTGTGTCCTCCTTGGGTTGGGAAAGCAAACACCAAACGCCCGAAAAGAGAAGGAAACTCTGGTTGGGAAACAACACGTCCGCTCAGGGAGGTTCTGGCCTCTCTCTTTCTCCCCACCCCACCTTTCAGCCTTACACTGAGACTGGGGGGGGGGCACACAAGACACCCCTGTGGGTTTCTGCCCCAAGGTCTTGAGATGGGCAGCGAGTCCCCCTGTCCCAGTCCCACCCAGCGTTCCCTCTAAGCTGAGTGAGTGTGAGCCAGCTCACAGTTTTTTAGCCTCCAGCTCACAGATTTTTATTTTAGCTCAGGAAGGAGGGCTCCAGAGTGAACTAATGTATGCAGTAGCCAAATCGCTGGCTCATAACTTTAATACCAGTACCTCACAAAGGAGAATTTTTGCACACAGCTTAGAGGGAACATTGGTCTCCCCTCCCCAATATTTATTTATTTACTTCATTTATTACCCCCCCCATCTTTCTCCTTGGTGGGAATCCCAAGTGGCTCCATTTTATCCTCACAACAACCCCGGGAGGCGGGTGAGGCTGAGGGAGAGAGAGGGTGACAGGCCCAAGGTCCCCCAGTGGGCTTCCAGGGCAGCGTGGGGATTGGGTCTCCCAGGCCCTAGACGGACACTCTGGTTGCCACAGCATCCTGGCTCTGCCCGCTCACTCAACTCGGGCCTCTTCCGGCGGACAGCCAGCCTGTCTCATGGGCCTCGGCTGGGATGTCCCAGCGGGCCCTGCAGGGAGGCAGAGGAGGAGGCGGCACAGAAAGGAGGCCTGGGCGAGGGGTCTCTGGGTCTGGCCCGCCTTGGTGCGGCACCCGGCACCCACTGGGAGTCTCCCTGAGGAGCCGCCTAGCACCTGCCCCGCCCCCGCGGCCTGGGGTGACCTTCCCTGCTACACGCCGAGCCGGTTCCCTCTGCTCCAGGCAAGTCTGTGCCTGATCCGGCCAGGAACCTGCTGGGGCCTGCCGCTCCGGTTCACAGCAGGCGGCCGGAGGGAAAGCTCTTCCTGCAGGGCAAGGCAGAGGGCACACCAGCGACTCCCCCCCCCCCAATGAGCAGAAGGGCCACCGGGAGCCAGACTTGCCCCCAAAAGGAACTGGGAGGGGGGGAGCCCTGCCCTCTCAGCCCCACCCCACGCAAAGCCCCCAAGACCCTGCTGCCCCTCGCCCCAGGAAGGAGCGGATCGCTTGGCAGCAGAGGTTGCCCCTCTGCACACACCCAGGCCCCTTCTGCCCCTCCCCCTGCACCCCACGGCAGGCTGTGACGGGTCTGGAGGGCACCTCTGTCCCAGGAGGAAAAAGCCTCCAGTGGGGCACAAACGAAGCCAGAACCAGAGCGGAGGAGGGCCACGGCTCCTGGAGGGCCTGCCGCTGTGTCTGCCCAGCCAGGGAGAGCCCTTTCCAACCCAGCGCCCGGGAGGCAACTGGCTTCCCGGGTGCAAGGCTCTTCCCGGCAGGGAGGCCGGAGCCGGTTGTAAGCGGGGCTCGAGGGAAAAGTGTTGGGTATTACAAGTTGAAAACACTCAGTATATCTGGGGTTAAATGTTTGTTTATGTTACTCACAGGAAGTCACATGTTTGTTTGTAACCAATCTGTTTTAGACAATAGGATGCCCGGGAACTTTGGAGCTAGTCTGCTAGTCTGATTGGAAACCGAGGTGTCGCGTATTTAGCATATTGGCTTCACTTTCCTCTCTTTGTTCTGACTGAGAAGGAGACGCCATTCGGCTCTTCCCGCTTTACCTTTTAGCTGCAAGGATGTAGGCATATAAGCTCTTTGTTATTTTCTATCCTGTGTACCCTTTTCCCCATGTTAGGTTTATAGTAAACTTTTATATTTTAAAACACACCAGGGACTGTCTCTTAATACTCTGCTGACTTACTCCGAGATGCGTGGAAGCGCTTTAAGGCCCCATTCACCGAGGCCTGGGGAGAAAGCCTCTCTCGGGCCAGGAAAGCCCCCAGAGGCAAGCAGTGGGAGACTGGCCCCGACCGGGCGGGCGGAGGGGAGCAGCACAGGGCGCCTTTGAGGAGGTTCTCCTGCAGGTGGATTGGGGGGGGGTCTTGTTGGGTGGGCGGAGGGGAGCAGCACAGGGCGTCTTTGAGGAGGTTCTCCTGCAGGTGGATTGGGGGGGGGTCTTGTTGGGTGTTACAAGTTGAAAACACTCAGCATATCTGGGGTTAAATGTCTGTTTCTGTTACTCACAGGAAGTCACATGTTTGTTTGTAACCAATCTGTTTAGACAACAGGATGCCCGGGAACTTTGGAGCTAGTCTGCTAGTCTTATTGGAAACCGAGGTGTCGCGTATTTAGCCTATTGGCTTCGCTTTCCTCTCTTTGTTCTGACTAGAGAAGGAGACGCCATTCCGTCTCTTCCCGCTTTACCCTTTAGCTGCAAGGATGCAGACACATTAGCTCTTTGTTATTTTCTATCCTGTGTACCCTTTTTCCCATGTTAGGTTTATGGTAAACTCTTATATTTTAAAACACACCAGGGACTCAGTCTCTTAATACTTTGCTGACTAACTTAAAAAGAATCCCAACAAAAAGGGACAGCTGAGACCGGGGGTCCATCGTCAAGCGCCCGGGGGCGCATGTGGGCAGACGCCCTCGCCTTCTGGATGGCCACTGGTCCTGAGCACGAGGAAGGGCCGGCTAGTGGGAGCCCAGCACCAGCCAGCGGGACAGAATGAGAATGCTGCGCTGGGCGATGTGGGGCGGCATTCTCCCCTGCTCCCTTGCACAGAGGCAGCCGGTGGCATGGAGGCAAGTAGAGCGGTGCCAGGACTGCCAGCTGCGGGGCCCTCCTCTCCCTCCCAGTTCCCCGGGGTCCTTGGCACAGAGAGGCCCTTCCTCCCGCCTCCTCCGTGAATGAATCCGACTCACTTGGCATCCGGCCACAGACGGTGGGCGGTCTGCCAGCTCTGGTTCCAGACACAGCAGCTCTCTGGGCTAAGAGGTCGGCCCGGATGCCCCCAACCCCCAGTTCCTCTGCCCTAAATTGGCATCAGCTGCCCTTGAGGCCGCCCGCCCGCTTCTCTTTGGCGTGCGGAGAGAGACCAGAGGCTTCCCCGGCACCCACTGGATGGATCCGTCCCTCCAGGGCAGGCGGCCGTCCAGCACACCCGCAGTCCGGGCAGTTTGGGCCAGCCTT